GCTGTGGTATAATTTCCTTGGGTGCATGTTGGCCCTGTAGTCAAGGAACTGGCTTGTGTAGGCCCTGGAAATAATTTGGCACCCAGGATAGGTATTGACAATCCAGACCACGGAAACGTGTTGAGAAGATCCAATCGCGGCTAAAATCAAATCAGTTCCATCATGTTTCCGTCTGTTGTGACACTATAATTACCTGCCGTAATGCCACATTGTCATTAGCGTTTCCATTATGAAGATGATATCATCCCATCTCATTCTGTACTACGTTATGTTCAGATAATATTCTTTTCAATATCTTTGGTATCTAAGCTTAATTAGATTCTGACTTAATTCTATTTTTCGAGATGAATGAAGAGGATAAGTAAATAAGTCCCATATGTTTCATGATTTATTATCAATTTGGGAGAAATAAAACAGTCATGAGAGACCTAGGGAGGGATCGAGAAGGCAAGCGCTGGGCAGAAGAGAGTGGAAAGCAGTGGTGGCTCACATCGCCAACAGATGGTGAGAATAAAAATGTACATCATAATATCATATCAAGTAGTCTCCTATTATGCTACGCATAGTCTTAATACTAGTGCCTTGTAGTTTATCGACTTCTGGCTTCCTGTAATTAGTGTCCAGTTGATAATAATTGATCCGTTAATCATCAATAAATCACTCAGTACCTGACAGGAGTGACGCCAGGGCCGCGATGAGGAATGACAGCACGACGCCTGGACCCGCCTGGAGTCTGGCCACCTGGGGATGGGGAGGAGGAGGGGGACTGGTTTATCAATTTGTTCACAAGATAAAAATCCTTTTAACATCCACAAAGCTGAAATGTGAGGCTTACAAATTACGGTAATCTCCAAGCAAATCTTTTGGTGGCTGCAATACAGTATTGAATTGGTTGCAATTTCAACCTCAGATACAAAAACCGGTAACTTACAGATGAAATCCGTATTCGGTTATAGTTCAACTTTCATAGCCTTCACCAGACTAACACCGCGGGTTTAAAAAAGGGAACAATTAAGCCATATAGGCCAGGGGAGTTTGGCAACTGTAGGAATCATTTGCCTTAGGAGGGTCAAATTCCCGCGGACTGACTCTGGCCAATTTTTTTCCCTTTTTGACGAATTATACGATCCCTAAGGGTCCCATAGGAAGGCCTGGTGGAGGCTACGATTCTCACCTGTCCGGCCAGCACGTAGATCCCTGCCCCGAGGGTGCTGCCGATCCCGAGGGCCGTCAGGTCGAACACCCCGAGGCACCGGGACAGCTCTGTCTCCTTCAGGTCCCGCGTGGTGGTGGTCTTAGTGCGGCTGAACGCCCGCCACACGCCCGCCATGCTTGCGTCTGCTTCTTCTTCTTCACTAGACAAGCTACCTGAAAAGAGAAATGAGCAGTCTAATTTTACACAAGTAGAGAATAGAATAGTCTAATTATACATAAGTTGAAGTTGTCGTGGTAGGACTGAACGCTTGCTACACATTCGCCATGCTGTTTGATGCAGCTTGCGGCTCTTTCTCCTTCACCTGTGAAGAGAACTTGGCTAGCTACCTGAATAGAGAATAGAGCAGTCGAAATTATACAAGTTGCCGTTGCCGTGATGAGGCAGAATACCGTTGGAATCTGACTATTTGCTCAGAGCTTTGCTGTTTCTCCATCAGTTAGTAATTGTGGGAAGAACTTGGTAAGAAACCTGAAAAGACAATACAGCAGTTGAATTATACATAGTCGTGGTTTTCCAGAGGAGATACTATGTCTTCGACGCTTTAGCAAATTGTTGGATGCTGCTGCTTTGCCCGAAGCTTTACTATTTCTCCGTGTGTATTTGCTGGGAGAACTTGGGAAGCCACCTATAGCTAAAAAGAAAATAGAGCACTTGAGTTGTAAGAGTCGTAGTTGTCTTACAGCGTCAGAATGTCTGCCATACTTTAGCCAATTGTTGGAAGCTCAGTGCCGCTTAGCTTGGAGCTTCGCTGTTTCGTCTTCACTAGTGGAGAGAACTTGGCAAGCTCTTTGAAATGAGAATAGAGCAGTCGACTTGTACTCATACGGCAGACACTGGTGCGGCAGAATATCTGCCATACTGCAACGAATTCTTAGAATATGCCGCTTTGCTATTTCTCCATCACTTTGTTGGAAGACCTTGGCAAGCTTTTAACCTGAAAAGAGAATAGAGCAGTCGGATTATATTAGACGTGGTTGTCTCGGTGCAACAAACTGTCTTCTCTCTTTATTAGACAACTGATAGATCATGGAGTGTGTCGCTTTGCTTGGAAGATTGCTCTCCAACATTACTTTGTGGGAAGTAATTGGCAGCCTACATAAAAGGAGGTTACAATAGTTGAATCAACAAGCCTTTGCTGCAGTTGATCCATGATGGAAGACGTAGCTGTTGGAGCTTTGCTCATCAACTTGTGAGGGACAACTTGACAAGCTACCTACAAAGAGAATAGACTGTTGGAAGTCCTTGTAATAGCCTGACCATCGCAATCCTTCATAATCATGGCACAGCCATAAAAGTCTTTACTACAGTTTATCCATGATGGCAACACCGTGGTATCCTAGTCACGATGGAAGATGTAGCTGTTGGAGCTTTGCTCATCAACTTGTGAGGGACAACTTGACAAGCCACCTACAAAGAGAATAGACTGTTGGGCGTCCTTGTAATAGTCTGACCATCGCAACACTTCACAATCATGGCACAGCCATAAAAGTCTTTACTACAGTTTATTCATGATGGCAACACCGTGGTATCCTGGGCATTATGGAAGATGCCGCTATTTGAGCTTTGCTCGCTAACTTGTGAGAATAACTTGACAAGCTACCTACAAAGAGAATAGACTGTTGGAAGTCCGTAATATGGCCATCTCAACCCTTCACAACCATGGCACAGCCATAAAAGTCTTTACTACAGTTTATCCATGATGGCAACACCGTGGTATCCTGGGCATTATGCAAGATGCCGCTATTTGAGCTTTGCTCACCAACATGTGAGAAGAACATCATGTGGCGATCTACATGTAAAGAGAATAGACTGCTGGTGCCTTGTGATAGCCTGACCATCACAACTCTTCACAACTATTGTATTTTGTCGATGTGGGGCTTTGTTGGTTTCATCAACTTGCATGAAGGACTTTACAAGCTATTTGAAATGAGTCAGAGTACATCTGTAGCGCCTGTGCATGTCCTTGTTATATCTTGTCTGTGGCAAAGTTTTATATTCATAGTTGGCCAAGAAGGGAGATACAGCTTTCCCACTAAATCCCAGAGGAAAAGGTCTTTGGTGTGTGGTGAACTTCAAATGAGATAAATTGGCAACCTATCTGAAAAGAAAGAAAAAGCCTGATCAAACGGTACTAGTCTTTGCCTAACAGCCAATCAATTGAAACGTCTAACAATCTTGTTGGTAGTTAGAGTCTTAAGAGAAAATCCATTCAATCTCAGTTATCAAATTGGAATAATGCGTAGAATTTTACTTTTCTTACCCTGTGTCAGCCAGAATTATCTATTGGTGAATTCTTGTGTGCTAGAATGAATGTACATTTTTTTAATGATTTGAAATTCCGTAATCTTATCAATTGTGCGATAACCTATAGCTAATTGTTTGCTTCTTTGACTTTGACTTTATTGGGATCCACACTTAGCATGCATGTACAAGACAGTAGCTATTCTTCTATGCTAGGATAAATCCAATATATGTTCAGAAATTCAACCTTTCGACGGTTGCATTTCACAACTTCTTGGATGGAGAAGTATTTCCTGCAGTCAGCGGTAACCGTCCCCTCCTTCAGAGCTACTAAAAGTACATACGTACCGGGTTCCTGCTACATATAGATCTCACTACACCCTGGAAAGACCAAATATATGATCTACTTGTGATCTAGGCGTCAGCCTTCCCAGTACTACATTTCACAATTTTCAGGAAGAATTAAGAAGCATTTTCAGCATCCGTTCCCCCTTCTGAGCATCTGGACTAAAGTACATATTTGTGCAGAGTAGCTCGTACATATAGATCCCACGGGCCATTACACTCTACAGTTGACAAACGAGAAAGACACCCCGGATGAGCGATGTTATGTTTTCTCCACAGAAATTCAAAGTGCACGATTAATCATACCGGGGAATCCTAAAGCCGATACGTGCTCAAAGCTGCAGAACTCCCTAATCCTCTCCTAAAGAAACACAACTGTGAAGATCGACGGTTCGGGGTGTACGTGCGTAGATGTTACCATGGTAACGGAGATAGCTATCGTCCTGATGGATTCTCGCTGTCTGACTCTGGATAAGCATCAAGGCCCGTCGGCGGATAATCACATTTCACGATAGCTCACTTCTCTACCTGAAACAGACAATGTAGGGCGATGTCCTCTGTACGGTAGGTAATCTCCAAGCAGATGTTTTGGTGGCTGTAAGACAGTATCAAATTAGCAATGTGAATGTGAGCGTGTAATTCAAGTTCCACATGTACCTACCTCTATTAACTGACGGACCGGTCCAGGTTCGTATCAAAAGCACTGGGATCAGGATATATCATTAACAAGCCACTAGCCAAGTCCCAGTTCAATTGTATCATGATATATATTGACTCTCTACGCGTCATACGAACATCCTACAAAAATAGCTCTATTGAAAACTGGCTCTGTTCATGAATCCCTAAATTGATAGAGTTGCATCTGCCATCGCAGTACCCACGTCAAACCAAGTTCCAATTAATGTATGACCATAGCCAGCAGCCATTGCCGTGAGTGAAAAGAAGTTTCATTAGCTGATAGCTAACACACAGAAAGGGTACGTCTTAAGGAGCTGACGTGTATTTGAAGAACTGGCGCTTTAGCTCTATATTACATCTAGTGAGCTGCATATTGCGGCTATACATGGCCATGATCAAACGAGTCCCTGGCTAGACACCACGTCTGGTTATCAAACCTTCATCAGCACCACCGTCCCGAGGTACCCGCAGCTTGTGCAACAGGGTCATGCCCTCACATGTAGCTCGGCCCTATCTGGTG